AAACCAGCTGGGAATGGACACTGGATTGGTGCAGGCCAGGGTCAGTGTTGGGGCTAGGTGATTGGCAAGAGTGCATTTGATCTGCAAGTCCCCTCCCCCAACCTTCAGCCTCCCCTCCTGGGGACTGGTGCCTTAGCCCTAGGCAACAGAGGCAGCAACACAAATAAATAGAAAAGCTGTTTCATTAAAAATCTTTCTAAGATGCGGTGCACTCAGGGCTCGGTCTCCTGTGACCTCGGGAAGAGAAGAGGCGGGAGCGTTAAAGACAGGATTGCCCCTGAGGCTAGTCTCTAGAACACACATGGACAGGGCAGCTGAGGGTCAGCCAGGGCAGCTTCCAGCTGGAGGGGGACTTCAGGCCCCAGCAGCATCAGCAGCTCAGCAGGAAGAGGTGGCTGCAGCAGCTGGGGCAGGCAGGGACTTGGTGCAAACAGTGAGCTGGCAAGCCTGCCTGGCCCCCAGACCTCAGAGCGGGGTGTGAGGATACAATGCTGCGGCAGGTTATTGCAAGTGAGTATGTCCAGAGTTTTTTTTTTTTTTTTTTTTCATTATAATGACTTCCCATATCTTTTCCACATCACCCAGCTGGTGTGTGGCTGGGGATAGTACTGGTTGTAAAAGTCATTTATAAGGAACTGGATTCTAGGCCCTGTCACAGAGATGGACAGTGCATCCTGCCTCCCATCTTCCGGAGTTCTCTGTCATATTACACATAAATCCAAAGATTCCTTTTGAAAGTCTCCTCCAGGGCATGCATTTCCTGCAACTAGCATAGCATCCAGGCTTGCTTAATTAATAAAACAAGCCTATGTACATCTGTAATCTTTCCAAGCTATTACTAACCACCCCACCCCACATTTTACATGGAATTCAGCCTGTTAGCACAGAAAACCCAACGATTCACTGAACTATGTTTCCGCTTTTTTCCCCTTTGAAATATGAATTCTTTTGGCTAAGACCTTTAGGTGTTTCTGCAAATCATGCTTGCTCCACTTGGCATCTGAGTCACCAGTGCTCGGCACCAGGGAAGCCTAACGTTTCCCGAAGGAACAAGTTGTAGCCTCAGGTCTGTTGCTCAGTCTCTTCATTTTTCCACGTTTAAACAAAGGTAATAAAACATTCTTGCAGGATCCAGGAGAGGATTAGGCATATAAAACATACAATATCTTGTATCCTGGGAAGAAATGGAACCTTGCCTATGAATCCCAGATCTGACACTAAATTTGTTGACCATCAGAAAACTGTTTAATCCTTAACTATTTTCTTTTTTTTTAGTTTTTTAAGACAGGTTTTTTGTTTGTTTGTTTGTTTTTGTTTGCTTTTTTTTTCATAGTGCGTTTTTTAAGACAGGTTTTTTGTTTGTTTGTTTGTTTTTGTTTGCTTTTTAGCACATAGTGATGGCTGTCCTGGAACTTGATCTGTAGACCAGGCTGGCCTGGAACTCACAGCAGAGATCCTTCTGCCTGCCTGCCTGCTTCTGCCTCCTGAGCGCTGGGATTAAAGGAGTGTACCACCACTGCCAGGCTAACCGGTTAACTCTCTCTCTCTCAAAAAAAGGAACTACTGACCTTGCACCTTGTCATTTTTGTGAACATGAATGAAATTCTATAGATTGAAGTAGGTTGCTGTAGGGGTTGTTACTCCTCTTTTGCAGCCTTGGGATCATTGTGTTTCCCTCCCAGTTGTCAAACTTTTCTTGCTTTGGGGAAAGACTGTACTTAACTTTGGAATGGGCAGGCATTTCTCTAAGATGAATTGACCCACCCATGCCTTCATCTCAGCTTGAAGGTCAGCAGACGCATTCCTGAGTCCTTGGGGTGGGGGTGGGGAGGCCTCACAGCTCTGCCAAAAAACGTAAACACACTGTGTCCATCCATAAATAAGCTCCGAGGTCCTTCCATTTCCCTTGGCACCTGACACCCAGCTTCCCTTTCCTGAACCTTACTCTATGTGGAGAGCACTGCCCTTTGTTAAGCCATCCTTACTGACTGATGACAACACTTACTCCTTCAGAGGGTGCCTGCCCTCTCCTTGTCCTCTGGAGCTGCTCATCTTCTAGACAGCTCTTCTTCAGCATGAACTTGGGAAAAGGATGCTTGTCAGTGGGAAGCAACCTGAGGTTATTGCAGCAAAGCTCGTAGTGATCAGGGAAACATCTGTAAACTTGGCGATCTGTAAAAATGTGGCTTTGATGATCTCAGGGCCAAGTCCTGGACAGACCTTGAGGTCCTCAGAGAACACAGTCCAAAGAAGATTCATGATTAGGTAGGGCGAGAGATGTCACTTTCGAACTTTAGGTCCCAGGTAGGAACTGATTAGGAAGCTCACATCACTGTCTAGCCTTGGCCTCTCCTATGTTGACTGAACTGCCCCCATCCCATTCTAACTAGTCCTTGTGGTGGCTTTGAAAGGCACTTAGATCCAAGACTTTTTTGAAGTGCTTTGAGAGGAAGTACATTCTGGGCCTGGCTCTCCAAATCCCTGGCCTCTGCAGACTGGCCTGACCCCTCTGTTCTTGTGGCCCTGGGATTTGTGTCACATGTTCTGGTACCTGCTGAGAGAGAGAGAGAATGTGCATGCATTCGCTCCCCCCGCCCCCCCCCACACACACAGAGGCTACTTTCTCAATTTGAGATTCTACTGATTCTAAGATATGGAACCCCAAAGGATACTATTTGGAGTTGTATTTGTCACTTTTCCATTGCTGTGACAAAATGTCTAATAAAAGAACTTAAAAGAAGGAAAAACTCACGTTGGTCTCAGTCTGTGGTTGGCTGGTTCCATCGTGTTTGAGCCTGAGTAGAGGCAGAACATTGCTGGTAGGAGGACAAAGGAAGTAAATCTGATGACCGAATGGGCATGGTGACTGAGTCAGACAGTGATAGAGAGGGTAGGGCTGGGAACAAAATACATTCTGCAAGGACTCCTAAGCAACATGCTTCTTCCAACTAGGCCTTTTCAAAAGTTTCTGTCACCTCCCAGCATCCTATGAGACTGTAAATTCAGCATATTAACTCATTGGTGGGCTGAGAACCCAGGGGGATCCTCACTGTTGGATACTCCTGCACTGGGGACCAACCCTCAACACATGAGCTCAAAGCTGGGGGGAAGGGGCATGGTGGGCACCAGATCTTTGAAGGAGGTCTGGCATGTGGGTCTTTTTTTTTTTAACCCCCTTTTCTTTTAAAGGCACCATATTTATCATTTTCCTTTGAAGCCTAGATCCTGAGATGGTAGGTTTCCTTGTTACCACTGGGTTTCAATGTATGGACTTCAGAGCTGGAATTGATTTTATCTGGGTAAAATCTTATATGGAACAACTGCCTAATCCTTAGCCATTGTGGTAGAGCTTTTGACTTTCATAGACCTTGGGCACTTTGTTTCCACAGGCTCCTTCATAAAAAAAAAAAAAAAAAAAATCAGCGGATCATTTTTTTAATAAACATGTTGACATAAGACAAATATCCAGGCTAAATTTATTGTTATGTTCATGATTTTCTTTTATTTTAATAAAGTATAGAACCATTTTCAGTGCCCCTATTAGTCTGCTAGGTCCAAGACTCTGCCTAATCCATTTAATGGCTATGCCCCCCCCCCCCTTGTAGAGCCTGCTGCAGGCTGCACTGGTATTATTATATCTTGTATATCACCTTCATGCCTCTGGAGGCACTTGACTCCTGAGCTGCAGCTGGAGCCTCATCTCTGTTGTTTCTCCATCACTTTTTCTTTTTCCCTAAGAAAGCATGTGTCACCCTGGGGGGGGAGGGGGGCCTGGGAGAAGGATCACAGAGTGGCTTCATCAAATCCAGTTTGGAGAACCAACAAGGTTACTGGGGTTAGTCACAGAACCCCAGGAGAAAGGTTAGTTGCAGGAGCATGAACAACTCTCTCATAGTTGTGTCACCAAAATCTCAATAGCCAGCATTGCTGATAGCTCACACAGCTGCATAACTGCAGCTTCCTGTGCAGCCTTTTGACTTCTAATCTCACAGAAGAGTCCCCTCTCACCTGCTACTGTTTGCTGCTCATATAACCTGAGGGAAGGGCCTCTTGTGTCTTGTTAGGTTTCTTGTGAATTTCATCAGTCTTCCTAGCCTCCTCCCTTTATCTAGGAAGGCAGGAGTTTTGCATCAGTTTTCCTGCATCCTACTCTGAAGGAAAAAAATAATTAGAAGATTAGCAATGATTTGCCCATTTGTAATGATTGTCTAAATTATTCTATTATTAATAAAAACGCAAGAGTCAGTAGGTACAAACCTGGTAGATTCAAAATGCAATGGAGAAAAGACCAACTGACCCTCCTCTCTGCTTTTCCAAGATCAAAAAAGGCCTGTGAATTTCCTAAGTCCCTCCTCCTTCCTCTCTGTGTCCCTCTCTCCCCATCTGAGTTGGCCAGAAAACTCTATGGTTTATTCTGGTCAGCTGAGTGTGGACTCCAACCTCTCAATCAAGGTTCAGTCTATTGACAATTTCGGAGGACAGAGGGAACAAATCCCACCCAATCCCATTCTAGTTTCATCTCTGTTGCCATAACAAGTACCATGACAGGAAGGAAGGGCTTATTTAAGCTTATAGATGACAGTTCATCATGGGCAGAAGTCAGGAGAGGAGCTGGAGCAGGAACATGAAGGGAGGCCTGCTTGCTATTCATTCCATCAAGTATTACCTCAGACTAAGGAGCTCACTCCCACCAAGGAAGTACAAACAGAAGAAACCACAGGGGACTTTGCTTGCTGACTCACAGGCCAGTTTATACTTAGCTTTCTCATACAGTTCAGGTCTATCTGCTCAGGGAATGGTGCCACCCATAGTAGGCTGGACCCTCCTAAGCCAATTAATAATCAAGTCCCTCGCTCAGATGACTTCAGGCTTTGTCAGGTTGACAGTTAAAGCTAAATAGGACAACTCTTCTGCCTCTGAGTGGATAAAATACTCCTCAGAGGGTGAGAAGACACCAGTGTGATGGTCTGAAAGGAGGCCCTACAAAGGAAAGACCTTAGAGAGGACTTAGAGAGAGTTTACAAGTGCTGCCCTCTCTGGGCAGTCTCACAATGAGGGGCCTGGTGACTTTCATGCACAGAGGACTCAAGGGTGGTAGCTCCTTCAACACCTGTTACAACACTCAAGTTTAACTCCAGCCTGGGAAAATCAGAGAGCAAGAAAAAAAAAACAGTAAATTTCTGATAATCAGGTAAAACATGTTTTAGCAGTCAGGTGGTCAGTGTAGTTTAGAAAAAAAAAATCAGGTTTGAAGATAAGTGAGGATGGAGGTTTCTGTTCTGCCTGGTCCTGCAGCTGATTCATATCAAAATAAACACACAGATGCTATATTAATTATAAAACTGTTGGTTGATGACTAGGGCTTCTTACTGACTAGCTCTCTCTTAATTATTAACCCATTTCCATTAATCTAAATATTTTCATGTGGTCTTATCTTACTGGAGATAGATTCGGATCCGTTACTCCTTCCTCTGCTACATGGTGTCTCTCTCCCCATTCCTTCCTCTCATAGCCCTGCCTATCCTTCCTACCTGGCTATTGGACAATCAGTGTTTTTTTTCATCAACCAATAAGAGAAACACACACACACACACACACACACACACACACACACACACACACACACACACATATATGGACATCCCCCATCAGATAAGTTTCAGTGGTTTGGAGTACACACTCTGAAGTTTAATTCCCAGGACTCATGTTGGGCATCTCACAACTGCCTCATAACTTCAGCTCCAGGGGATCTGACATTCTATTTTGTACTCTCTGTGCATGTGCCACAGAGAGACACATGGAGTATGTACCCATACTAAGACACATGCTTGTATAATTTTTTTAATCTTAAAAAAATTCCTATTTTTTTCATTAATGAGTTTGTGGATGTTCCTCACTCTATTTACAGCAGCAAGCGCCTTGCCAGAAATGTCAGCCCTAGCTAAGACATCTTCAAGGACAGCAAAGGTCTGGAGAGGACCAAGTGTCACTTTCTTCAGAAGACCATACTTTGAGTCATGATCTTCTGGTTGGCACTCCTTTCTTGGGAGCAAAAATAATTTGCTGGAAGAAATGATATGCATGTACTTGGCATTCCAAGCTGTCTGTCAGGTGAGCAAACCTTGGAAGTTTGTGGAAACCCAATTCAAACGGGTGCTCGAAGGTGTCTAGTCTTTCATGGGCCAAGACTAGACAGATCTCATTCCACTGCTGGGCTTTCAGGCCCAATGTACTAGGTAACTGCCTCCACAACCTGGATGATTCCAAATGCATTTCTTTGTCAGAAAACCAAGTCTGAACTTTTTAGAAAGCTCTCTTTGTTCTTGGGGGAGGGGTTGAATTGTCCCTTGGTATTGAGGATCTCAGACATTCAGGCTGTAGTTCATGGTTCTGGCCTGGGTCCTCTTAGATACCACCAACCAGAAGACCTACTTTTCAAGGCAGAGTGTGATATCTGGTATTAATTTGGAAGCCTCCTTAGCTTTGTACAAACTTCCTGGTTCATAATGTGCTGCTCATACTAAGTGTGTCTCCAGTTCAAGACCTGGTGCATTTGAGACTTGAGAGATGATGGCCCACAATCATCAAACACAAGCTTGGCTCATCAAGGTTAGACAACAGCTAAGCAAAGCATACTCCACATCACCGAGGGGCAATTCCTGGCTGGGCTTATTTTTAATAAGGTGCTTCTGTGTTTAGAAATTCAAAGGCTCTGGCACTAGAAGTTTCCAGTAGAACATCTCTTTCCTGAAGAAAGATCTTCTAGGCCTTGTCTAGGCATGATGGAGTCTATGGCTCTACTGCTCACTGAGGTGCAGATGTTGGAAAGAGGGGAGTCTGATTATCTCAAGGGATTCTCAGAGCTAACGGTCAAATCTTGAAGTCTGGCAAACAGAACACAGCCCAGTAGATTATATAAGGTGAGTTAGCTGTCTCCTTGTGGTTGGATGGAGGCTTTTTCCTAGGCCATTCCCTAGGGAATGGTATAGTACACAGTGCCCCCTGGTGGTTTTCCTACTAAACTGCAAAGCTCTGTAGATGGTCCCTGGTGGGGTGCATGGCTTGTCCACAAGAAGAGTAGCAACATCTGTTAGGCAAGGCAAAGAATCAATGGGTGCCAGCAATTGGTGGGGGGAGGGCACCTTAATTAAGTGCCTGACCTTGTGGGATGGCTTCTTAGTGAGTCTATGCCCAGTTAGTATATGTGGATTGATTTTGTGATTACATTGTAAAGTCCAGCCGCCAGGAGCCTTGATAAAATCTTTATACATACATTAGGCATGGAAACCAGGTAAGGACCTGGGAGAGTTTGCCAGATGTTTCAGTAGATGAAGGCCCCCACAGAGAAGGCCTGTCTTTCAGGGTTGACTGGAACTGTCAACTTCAGCAGCCAGAGGGCGAAGAGGTGACAATGGGACTGGCACAGACCTGTTAGAGAGCTTACTGGGAAAGCAGCAGGCCAGGAGCTGTGGAAGACTATGAACCTTTTATCCCCAAGTTCTCTGTCCGCATCAGGAAGATATTATCCTGTGGAGCAGAAAGCTCCCACACCCAGTCCACGGCTACTCGGTACTGAAGGTTATCTGGACTCTCCCAATCAAATCAAATATGGCATAAGCCATCTTAAATTGAAGGGTGCATGGCTCATAGGTGGGCAAGGCTAGTAGGCTTGCCATTTCTTATAACATAAAACACATGGCTTAAAATAATTGCAAAATGGTGGTCTTATGTTCTGGATCTTTGCTGTCTGTTAAGTCTTCCCTTGGTCCCCCTTACATTGCTCCTCTTCTAAGGTGCTCTAACGACTGCCCCTTGTGTCCTTAACCTCCTACAGTTAGGGTGACCTCTGAGAGGGTAATAGGGAGAGATGTCACTAGGAACTAGATAGCTTTCCTAATAGGCAGATAAGGAGAGAGGCCAAGAGGGTGAACATCAAAGAGAAAAAAAGATGTGATTTCACTGAGGGGTGCAGCTCAATGGGGGATCATGTACTCAGAATGCCTGAGGTTCAAGGTTCAATCTCTATAGCACAATAAAAATGCAGTGATGATGACAATGACGATGATGATGAGGATGACGAAGAGGAAGAGGAAGAAGATGATGATGATGGTAAATAATGGTTTCACCAATCTTTACAGATCTGGAGAACCAAATGAGCCATTAAGAACCTAAATCATCACATTGTTTTAAAATTTTCAATACTAAATTCTAGTACATACAATGGATTTTGTTGTTGTATCTTTATAAGTTGCTAAGCAGTTGTTTAAATTTTGGGGGACTGGAAAGGGAGACAGCTCTGTAGATAATGTACTTCCTGTCAAGTCCAATGACCTGAATTCTATCCCTGGGACCCACATGGTAGAAGGAGAGAATCAACTCACACAAATTGTCCTCTGACGGCCACATGCATGCTGCTGTACATGTTTGCACACTTATGCTACACACAATGAATAAATAATAGCCCAGATATTTAAAATGCTTATACAGGTTTCATTTTTTTCAGAAGTGCATGCTGGTTAGCTTAACAGATTTTAAAAGTCCGAGCTATGTTGTGGATCTGATACCATTCAATTGCCAGTACCAATAATGAATAAACAAATAAGCAAACAAACAAACAGATCTGCTTATTTTACTAATCTCCCACCCACTTAATGAATGACCAAGCTGAGGTTTTGTGATGTTGGAGCTTTTTCACTACTGAAATGGAGAAGGAACAAAAGGAGGTGGTCTTATACCCTTCTTTCCTCCCATCTCAGGGGTGCCCATCCTCTGAGCACATGTGTGACTCTGGAATTCAGTTCCACCCTTCACCCTTCCTCCTGGCTTCTTGGGAAAAGTCCTTGAGACATGATGCTTGAAAACATCAATACTCCTCCATGAAAGGCAGGTCATAAAACAAACAAAAAAAAAGGGCTCCGGTCCTCTCCCCCAAATAATGTTTCTTCTGCTAGATCCTGTCTTCAGAAGCTACATAGGACAAAGGGGCCGAATTTGAAACATTTGCTGAACTGAGGCAAATTGAGCTTTGCCAGGATCCTTATGGGCCTTATAAATATTTATATGCAATAACATCTGGGCCTGGCCTCTAGTGTCTGAGCTCATGTTTGCCCAATAGCCTGTTTTTGCTTTGTTTC